CCTCTCACAATCTAAAGAAAGCTTAACAAAACTATATTCACAGTCAAATCTCAAATTGATCACTCATTCTACTTAGATTTTAATGGTAACACATGATACTCCACCATTTGAAGATGCGATTTTACTTTCTGTCTTAGTGGCTTAAAGTGATTTATATGGTTGACTCCTTCACAAATAAACCAGAAAAGAAATTAATTTTACATCCGGCCATGCTGCTGGTTGCCCTGAGTGTTTATGGCTCTGTATTTTAAATCAAATAGAGTAATAGGCAAAAAAACGTGGTAGGCTGCTGAGGGCAGAATTGGAGGCTGAAGGAGCACAGACTCAAGGAGGAAGTCACACGTGTCTCGGTTTCTGTCTTGTCCTGTAGCCCTGAGTGTACACTTTTGTTACCTAGGGAACTGGCACACAGCAAGGACTCTTTTCATTGGTCATGAATGTTGTGGGTGGGCTCTGATGCACAGGTAAGCCAGCCACCTGAGCTGAGGCTTCCTGAATGAGTGCCTGGGAGAAAGACAGTGTTTGGGAGATAGACACAGGATAGAGAGAGCTGTGAGATTTTCCAGCTGGCCACCCACACCACTTTCACTGGAGGGCGAGATAGCATTCACACCACTCACACCCGCTAAAGCCTGAAAACATCCCCAGGAACCAACAGGTGCCATGCCAGTCTATATGTGTGGAAGCCACTAGTTGATGCTCTTCTTATCCAAAGAACCCTTGCAGTTACTTGCCTGAATACAGTTTGTCAAGCAGGAAGGGCATACACATACACTGCAGTCACACACAGCAAGGAAAGTTGAGTGTGAGATCAAACAGCATCCCAGTAATTACAAAGTCCACCCTTCACCCTTCTCAACACACAACCTTTCTCCATGAAGCCAAAACAGGGCTCAACAAAGGCGGTCTTTCCAACCCACATTCATCTGGTGGGGGCAGAAGGCCCTTCCCCAGTTATATATGTCTGCATGGGAAAACATCCTCATTCATAGCCTGGTGTGAAGTGATTATTATTACAATTGGTAGAAATCCTAATTTTTAGATTGTGATTTATGGTTACTGTGCTTTAAATACAGGATCTCAACGAATGGAACAGGACAGTAGCATTCCTTCTGTCCACCTCTAATGATGATATGAAATTCAAATACAGAACACAGATAGACAGTCTTCCGTGTGGGGAGAAAATACCCTGAATTTTGTTTGGCTGTCAGTTCTTCCTCATTTCCACCATACCCACCAGTGTCCTTCCACACAGACTCCAGGTAGAGACCTGATGCTCCTGCACTCCAGTGCTCCTCCTCCACCCTGATGCTCCTCCTCCTCTACCCGATGCTCCCTCCTCCTCCTCCACCCTGATATGCCTCCTCCATCATGGTCCTTCTCACTCATCAGCTTCCTGGGTTTGGCCATTGCTTGCTTTCATTTGTGTATTCTGCCAGTTGTCACCTTCCAGGAGCAACCAGAAGATGGCCTGGGGGTCACAAGACGTTTGGAGAACCAGGAAGACCCAGAAATTCCTGACCATGGAGAAAACCTGTGGAGGGAGTCCTCAAAAAACCTCAGGTCATAAAGGACAGTTACATTATCACAATAGATGAGTTCACCGCTCACCTGTCACAGGCCAAAAGTTTCTCTTGGAGTCTCTGTGCTATTTTTACAACTCCATGTGTTTGTACATTTGGTGACAAGGAGTTCTCTATGTGTACTGTGGATTTGACCATTATACATTCTTGTAGAGGCTTTAATTCATTTCAAAGTGATTTGTTTGTTAGATCAATGAATGAGTTGATAAATGCATATGGGAAAAATACATGAATAAATGAATTAAAGCCTTAAGGAATATATGAATGGATGGGTGGAAAGACAGAGCAATAACTGAAGGAAAAAAGCAAGTAGTAAAATCTGGGCCTGATGCACACAAACTGGCAATCCCAGCACTCTGGGAGGCTGAGGCAGGAGGATCTCAAGTTCAAGCCCAAGCTGGGCAACTTAGCAACTTACTGAGATCATGTTTCAGTATTGAAAAAAGAAAAGAAAAGAAAAATCTAAACGAAAAAGGACTGGAGATGCAACCCAGTGAAAAGGTCCTGAGTTTAATACCCAATATTGAAAAAAAAAAAAGGTAATGAGTGCTTGAAATTGTTAGCAAGTGCTCAAATATAATGTGCAAATAAAATATCTTATGAAGGAATGAAACCATATCAATGGACCCTAATCAACAAGCACACAGGAGCTCCTCTCACATGCCCACCTCGCAACCTGATGTGAAATGTGAGAGGATGCTGTGAGTGAGGTTCTGGCTCCCGTTTATGGTTGAGGAATTTGGCTCCCCATCCTCATTTTCAGCCAGAGGGACTCTGCATAGACCCTCATACAGACAGAAGGAATATAGAAATATCCCCCTCCTGTCTGACCCTTCAGAAGAAGGGGGCTCCGTGAGCATGATATCACCATAGCATGCCTGGATGAAGTGGTGGCCTGTCAGACACTGAAGGGCACTTCCTGCATGGCCATAACCATGGCTGTAAAGAGCACAGATCCTAGACCACAGCCCAGAAAGTGCTGGCGCTGGTTGCCAAGTCACACGATCACTTCCTTGTGCTCACTTCTGAATGG